GAATATATTATCAACACTAACTTAACTATTAAAGAATTTAAAGAAAGATTTTATGATTTTTTGATGCTCGGATTTTTTAATTTGTATATCTTTATATCTCGAAACTACAATCACATCAGATACGGTTCGAACTATTTGATTCATTGTATAGAAAGAGTTAATTAACTAAGCTCTTTTTCTAATATTCTATTTCATTCTATACTACTATAATATTCTATTCTTATCAAAGTGTATTTATATTCTCATTTGAGAGGGGGTAAATAGAAGAGATATAGATTTCACAAGATAATAATATAATGATATATTAGCGAATGGGATTTAAATTGAGATTGAGACTTGCGAGGAGAATTATACTAGTGGGAGTATCTATGTATATGAATAATTATACAAGTGCTGTTATTGTATTTTGGAATACTCGGATTATATTTGGTTTCAAGTTTGGAAAGTTGAGGAGTCCTTGTTTATATATGTATATATTTATGTATAATAGATAGAATATGTAATATATGATATGTGACATATCAAACAACAGCAAATGAAATTCTCAAAGATTGTTTCTATCTAGTCTTGATGTAAAGATGAATGAATCAGAAGTTCGGTATGCGAAATTGAGGAATATATAGGAATTCGAGTGGAAGTAGAGGTGGTGATATGAGGAAGTGATGAATGAAGGTGGAAGATGGATAGATGGAAGATTGGATGATGAGGTTTAATGCTAAATGTGTATTTGCAATGGTCGGTTGAATGTGTGGATAGGAAGCTTTGCGTGTAGATCGAGCTTTATATTGAAGTGTTTTGAGGATGACTTTTATATAATATCTCATGATCTATGGACTTGAAATGATTGCGTGGTTGTTTGGTAGCATGATACCTATTCAGATTGATAGAGGAACTGATCTATGAAGAGGGTTTTCGAAAACTGTTTCGATTCTATCTGTAGATACCGTCGATGGAAATCTGAACAAGATTGATTGATCATATGTAGGAATAGTTGGTAGATGGAAAACTGATGAGTGCATGAAAACTTCAACTGAGGGCTACTAGAATTTGAACTCAAGATTGAGAAGATACCTACACATTCATAGTCAGAGGAAAATCTTCTTGCATTGTTAACGAACGCATTATATAGAAGGTAGATGGTTTAACCCAGATGTGATGACACTCATTGAGACGATAGCTACACTCTATACACGAGTTGACTCGCGGACTAAAGATCTCATGTATCTAGACAGGATGACTTTTGTGTCTTATCCCATACGTATCTTCACACCGAGTGACCATCCAGCTCTATTGCAGAACAAAGCGTCAGTAATTATTTACCTACTCGAAGTTATTGGAGTTGAGATGGTGGATTCAGTATTGGGTACTGGTAGGGTACCCCTGAGATGAATCACCAACGTTCCGGGAGATCCGAGGGGATCTACAGCCCTAGGAGAAAAATGCGGGGTGGATAGGGAGGTCTTTTGACTGGTGAGATATTCATGTGAAGACATGTCTAATCATCTTGAACGATTCCACTAGGGAAAGAAGTTTGTCTCTCATGTTAATTCACTATCTGAAGCGACCCTCGATTCGAACATTCCGTGCGTTACCTACGAGACATTGGTAATCTTTGAACAAGCTGGCTTCTACAACTTGTAGATTTCTCATTGTGAGATGGGATAAATGGGTTGAGATGTTTTATTGATTCACCGACGAAATGAAATGATATGAAATGCATGATAAATGTATGATGTTAATAGAAGAGTAGAGTTGATAAGTGGAAAGGGGGGAAAGGGAAGATTGGGGGAATGTTGGGGAAATATTGAATGCAGCAGCTGCACCTACTCGTGTCGCGTCTACCGATGGAATGATTTTTGGACCCCACGCCCAAGGCTGAGTAATATTCTCCGAGAGTAACCTTACGGAGCAACTTTTGGGGGCGGACGGCTCATGGAGTAATATCGTAGAGTAACTTATACCTAAAACCTATTAAGATGATCTACCGATCCACTGCAGGAGCATTCAAAGGGTGAAACAGATACTCATCAGATTAAAAGCCGTTGGACGGCACAGTTTGCACTTTGGGGAGGGAGGGATTGGCAGAGCTTTGGATATCATTATGAGTGTAGTGTGTGAGATGATTGAGAAGATGATTCTGACATAGATATATATATATATATATATATATATATATATACACATACCTACATACTTATTACTCACATGGTTTAAAACAATTCATATGCACCAGGTATTTTCCATTTTTTATACCCAAGTAGACAGTCGAGACAGTGAACCAAACTTTCGGAAATCGATGTCCTTGATAGCTCGGGTGTGCTCGGTTTATTGGGTACAGTAGTTTGAGTGATTGATTGATTGACTGATTGACTGATTGATTGATTCAATTTGATTGATCCCTTGAAACTTTGGCCCCCAATCATTGAACAGATGCTTTTAGTTTCATGCCATCTTCTAATTTATAATTAGGTAGGATCTTAAACTCCAATGTATCCTATGATTTGCATTTCGATACAAAAACCTTGGAAACCAGAAATGACAAACCGTAACGTCATGATATACTCTAGCATATATACTACCTACCTACCTAACAAGTAGACACTGATCATTAGCAATGCCATTGCCATCGATATCACGTGACCTCACCGTGATTTATCTTGATTAGAATCATTCTTTTCCTACATTCAAGATGATGATACGCCTGGAGGAATGGAATGGAAAAGAATTGCATGTTATATGCATCTCTTCCAGATCACCCAAGGCCATCTGAAATGGAAGGGCTGGTGATGATGGAAATCATGTCACACTTACACTTACTTTGCATGCCACTTTTAGCAAGCGAAACTTGGATGGGTGTTTCGAATGATAGTTCATCGAGGGAATGACTTATATCTAGGTAAGCCAAGAGATGAGAGAGATGGATTTGGGTTATAGAGGAGAGTAGAAGCGTATGGAAGTTGATTGCCCAGTCCTGCGTAGTATACCAACATGAATTATGGTTGTTGCTTCCGTAAGATGAAGGTCGGTGAAGGTACTCGAGTACATAGATACGGAGGTCGGTAGTAGGTAGGTAGGTAGGTACTGATGAAAGATTGTATGATTTCTAGAATGAAATGCAGGTGAAGATACCTACCTATCTATTATTTAGCAGCTACCTACCATACATACGAAAGAACCAAAGAACCAAAGAACCCAAGAATTCCCATATATCTCTGAAGGGCAAAACCACGAAATCATGTAGCTTCCGAGGCAGGTAGGTATTGCAATATACTACGACTACAGACTCATTAGGTAATCACGATGGGCAAAGATACCAAGCAAGAAGAAATGAAATGAAATGAAATGATTTCGAGGTTAGTACCTGCCGACTAGTTATCACTTCACCGTATTGAGTGATTACCTGCGATCCAGGGATTTGCAAAGTCTATGCGGAATCGCCGAAAAGGACTCGTAGATACCGACGACCTAGATAATAGATAGATATCTAGCCAGATACCTCCCTAGTACTGTAGCTAGATGGAAGATATAAAGTTCTCTACATACATACCGACCCAGTATTCCACATGAGAAAGCAGCATGATGAGTATAGTATCAATGGATGTTACCTGATACTTCCCATCATTCGAACTCTCTAGATACTTTTTTCATTTGAAATCATCAAACTTCTCTTCCAAAATAAATAACATCACCATCCTTCTTGTTGGAAGTGAAGGGTGAAGGGTGATGGTCAATCAATCTGTTCTTACTCTTCTATATATCTTTCATCTCAAAAGCAGCATCACTCGTAGGCTGAGGCTAAGGCCACTTGTAGATTAGTCGATACAAAACCTTGATATGATTGGTTCTTATCCAAATCTTCCACTTTTTTCTCTCTTCTCTATCGAACCTTACCTCTCGGTCTCTCTCTCTCTCCCCCCCCTCTCCAACTTATTATGACTATTCCTCTCCCAATTCTACCACTTTTATATTTCCCTCTTCCCTCTTCGCACTTCACATAACTCCGTGACCATTCGGAAGAGAATTGGGGATCAATTATCATCTGATTCGAAATCATCTCATATATCTCTTTAATATCTTTACTTTTCCAATCCTATCTTGACCTCTTCCTTCTTCCTTTTTTTATTAATCTTCACTCCTTATTTATTTTTTGTGGCGAATCCTGGTTCGTTCAATTCTCTCCCCCCCAAGCTTTCTTCCAGCTCCGACCATTCAACTTTGAACACCAGAAAAAAAAACAAGAGAGAGTGAGTGAGAGAGAGAGTGAGGAAAGAAATATTAGAAACACTCCCGATACCTAGAAAACGCACCTTCCTCTCGGGAAGCAGTTTACATCACGCCCTGCGTATTTTTCAGTCTCTTATTATTTGCAACACACCCCCCAAAAACCCACCTTGGAAACTTTATACAAATTACAACGACAAACTACAACCCATAAATCACCACCACTACCGCCCCATTTCGATTAATTGAAAAGTCTCGTCCACGGTATCAATATCAGTTACCCTTAATAATTGCATGGTGAATATCTTCACTTGCGCAATCTCATCCCAAGCAAGAGCTTTTCAATCTTCCTCTTCCTTCTAGAATAGCCTTCTTCAATAACCTTCAGACGCTATTGCTTCTCGCATCAAACAAGCCCCCGGAGTTTATCGCATTTGGCTTCCACTAAAAAGGTCCCCCCCCCAGACACAGACACAGATACCTCAGTTACACCAGAAATCACACCTTCAAACCCATTCAATCTACATCAAACTGGCGCGCCACGTACAGTCACAATAATATACAAGTTGGAATATTTAAAAACGATAGTTTTCGGTTTCGTTCAATTCAAACCGTTCTGCCGTGCGACATTTCGCTCTACAACCGCTTCGCGTCAGAGAGCTGTGGCTGACGGACGGTTCTTCTTCTTCTACACGAGTGTTGGATTGTAAAATTCACGCTCACCTTGACTTATCACTACCCGATCGCGTTCAGAGTCTGCGACGATGAATAACGTCAATATGTCCGGTATGCCAAACATGGGTGGTCCAGTTGGAACTGGTATCCCCATGATGAATAATGGGGTACCCGGTGGAGCTGCGAGACATCCTACGATGAAAGATGGCAACTCTTTTAGCCCTCGATCGCAACTGAACACCTACATTTACGAATACTTTCTCAAGAGTGGCATGTTTGATTGCGCCAGAACAATGTTGAATGAACAAATCAACGTCCAGAAAGATAGCCTCAATCGGGGCGACGCGGAAGAGGGAGACGATTCGAAAGATGACATCGATTCAAAGAGGCCCAGTGATCTTCCTCTACCAAACCTTCCCAAGGAATCTCCTGAAAATGGCTGTTTTCTTTATGAATGGTTTTGCCTTTTCTGGGAAATGTTCAATGCTCAGCGAAACTCGGGGGATCCATCACGTAACGTTCTTGCCTATGTCACTCACACACAGGTATTTCAACCATTGGAGGTTCACTAAAAGCATTAACTAAACTCTTGATAGCAAACGCGCCAAAAGGCAGAGCAACAGCAGGCTTCGCTTCGTGCTCTCAATCCAAATGGAATGCATCCTGGTGCAGCCTATGGTCGTATGAACCCAGCGATAATGCAAAATGAAATTGCACGACAAGCATTGATGAATGGTGGTAGAGGCAAACCGTGAGTAGCCATCTTTGCTTGTCATACTAACGCTAATCAATCACTGTCACAGCACTCCACAGCAGATGCAACAGATGCAACAAATGCAACAGATGCAGAAACAACAAGCAATGCAGAGAGAACCTTCGGACGGCAACCATCCACAACGAGCTCAATCGCCAGGAGGATCTGCCGAGAACGCTCCATCCCCATCCAAGCGACCACGAATTGAAGGACCCGGATTTAATCAACAAGGTGGCATGGGACCTAATGGAAGAGGACAAACTGCTGGAATTCCAGGCCAACAGGTGGGAGAAACCGCCCCCAGCAATACTGCTCAAGCAGCTCGTTTGCCACTTTCAAATGGTATCGATTCAAATCTGACAGCTCAGCAGTTCCAGGGTTTCCCAAATCAAAATCCACAAAAGAATCTTCAAGCATATCAGGCTGGTTTGTCACATCAGCAACAAAAGCAAATGCCTGGTGCAGCTGCTGGAGGCCCCCCCAACCAAGGATCGCCCATGATGACGCAAGGTGCTGATGTGAACGCAATGACTACTTATGGTTACGGCGCGGGTGAAATGGGTCAAAACGGTGTGAGAGGTGCTCCCGGTGGCCAACAAAGTGGCCAACAAGGTAACCATGCTTTACAAGACTATCAGATGCAGTTGATGTTGCTTGAGCAACAAAACAAGAAGAGACTAATGATGGCACGCCAAGAACAGGGTGCCGCTGAGGGCCAGGGAGGTCCCGGAGGACCTGGCATGGGGCCCAATGGGCCCAATTTCCCCCAAGGAACCTCGCCACAAAGTGGTCCTCGATCAGTGAACTCGCCAAACCCAAGCGAGCAGCAGATGAAGCGAGGAACACCTCACATGAATAACCCAGGCATTCCATCTCCTCTACCCGAAGGTCAAAATAGAGGATCGCCGGGCGCAATGAACTTCAACATGGGACAGCCTGGGCAAATGGATGCAGGCATGAACCCACAATTCTACAAGATGAACGATATGAATGGTAACATGATGCCCAACGGCATGCGACCCCCTAGTTCCCATCCCGGATTCCCACAAGGAATGTCACAGCAGCAAATGATGATGGCACGACAGCAAGCTGGCAACTGGCAGAATGGTCCAAACGGCGGCGCTCCCATGGTTGCCAACCCCTCCCAAGGACCCCCACAAGCTATGGGCACACCTCAACAACGAAATATGCCTCCACCCGCAGCTCCTGCCAACGCTGGCGCGAACGGACGAACACAACCATCGTCCCCTCAAGGTAGCACTGCTGCACCTCCAACACCTCAGCAATCGAACAAGGCAAACCCCAAGAAGAAGAATGAGACCAAGGAAACAAAAACAAGGTAAATTTCTTAGCGTTTAATGGATTTTTTGGTAGAAATGTTGACATTGATAACAGCGGGCTACAAAGAAAGGATCCGCCGCAAACCTCAACGCTGGTGCTACACCCTCCGCCGATCCAACCCAAGAAGCCGCTACCCCCACCCCAGCGACCCCGATCACCCCGGTTCACACGAAGACTTTCAACAATGTTCCAAATCCAAACGGTGCTGTTCAGCCCGTCAATGGTCAACCTATGGCGACTGCCCCGAACGTTGGAGTTGCCTCGTCGCAGCCTGATCCTCTGAATGCATTCCCAATGAATGATCAACCGGTATGCCTATCACATGTCATTTCTTCTGGGTTTCACTAATACAATTTTAATAGTTTGATATGCTCGAGTTTAACAATCCCATGAATGGAAATTCGGATGTTCTTACCGACTTTGACTTTGATTCATTCTTGAATGATTCTACTGGTGGTGCAGATGACAATTATAACTTTGATCCTTATCTAGGAGAAAATGAAATATCCGAGACTGTTTGAAGCAATTCAGGTGCATAGGGTCAATTTACCGGCGTTTTCGAGCATACTTTGGCGTTTATCGGATCATACCACTTCGAGCTTTCCTGGCGCATGGACTCTCAAATGTGAAAAAGAATCTGGAACTTCAGAAAGGATTAGAAAGGGGTGGTGGTTGTTGCAAGTGTTTAAAAAAAACTCCTTTTACATAAGACATGACACGATCGTGTGACGTTGGATAGGGATCAACGGAGGGGAGTGGTTTTCATTTTGTGTTTACGCTATTATACTTTTGATCAGTCAAAGGAAGTACTTAATTACTTGGCTCATATTATGACTTTCTCGGCATATTCTTACTGGGCAAAGTTATGAGATGGGAACTGGCGTTACTTTGTTTAAATGATTAGTCTATCTTGTTTATTATCCACCATATTTCTTTTGCGTAGGAACGGATATTGGGATCTCTTGGGGAAAGGGAGGAATCCTGTGTATTTATCATTGATGGGTCCAGTTCTCTCTCTCTCTTTTTTTACAGGGCGGGATTTATCACTAGGAGACTCGAGAAGATGTTTGTTTATTTTCCAAAGCAAATTTGGAGTAAGATTATTAACATATATGTTTTTCAATGATTGAATGTTTTTAGTAGCGTGATTTTATCATATTTGAAGATGAAAGGGACTATTGACTATTGACTTTTGACGCAATTTGTTTCGGGGTCATTTTAAGGGGCTCGGTAATGCAAAGGATGTAGATTGATTGCTTAGGTGCAGCATGGATTATATTGGAGTAGTGGGGATGGTGGGTGGGTGGGTGAGTGGTATGCATGCATTGCAGTGCCGTGCAGTGCAGTGCCGATTATTTTTCTTAATGATTTTTTGCCCACTCTTTTTTTTTCTTCGTTTGTTCGTTGGATGTGTGTGCTTATTTGATGGGAATTAAGTGTGCTGGATGGATGGATAGATAGTTAGTAGATGGATAGTAGATTTTATATTTGTTATGTTGTGTTATTTTATGTTTGTTATGCATGTTGTGTTATGTTATGTTATGTATGGTAAGGAGATGAAGGGATTGGAGGGAGTGGGAGTGGAGTGGGAAGTTGGTGCTTGGTCCTTGGTTGTTTTGTGATTCGTTAAATTTGTGGTTGGTGTGCTTGGTATGGTGATGGTATGGTGTAGTTGGTATGGTGATGGAAGATAGTTGGAAGTGAGAGAATGGAAGTGAGATAATGGATGAATGGAGGTAGTTGTTTTTTGTGGATTGGTTTTTTTATGGTATTGCATTGGATTGTATTGGGTGGAGGGAGGAATGGAGGGAGGGAGGGAGGGAGGGAGGGATGGAGGGTGGTGTGTATTTATGTGTATATATATATGTGTGTGTATGTATGTATGTATGTATGTATTTATGAGATGGAAGGTGGAAGGAAGATGAGTGGAAGGTGGATATAGAGAGGTGAATTGGATTTGGGGTGGGTTTGGGGTTGGGTTGGGGTTGGGGAAGAAAGTTGGAGTTGTGGAGTTGTGGAGTTGTGGAGTTGTGGAGGGATGAATGATAGAGGGATGAGGGATGGATGGATGGATATATATATATATATGTATAAGGAGGGGAAGGTTTGGATGGGTGTGTATTTGTTTTTGAGGGGAACGGGGAACGGGGGAAGGGGGTAATAATGGATGATGTCCTTTTGAACTTTGAGGAGAAGAAAGGGAAATGGAGGAAACAAAAGAATGAAAAGATGGTAGGTTGTTTGGTTGGTTTGGTTTGGTTTATTTTTGTTCTATGTGTGTGAGAAGGGATGAGGGATAGTGATAAGGTGAATTGGATTTGGGATTGGATTTGGGATTGGATTTGGACTGTGGATTCTCCAGAGGGGATTCTATGTGTGGGATTAGGGTAAGAGGCTGGTGGATTGGGGTGGGGGAGGGGATTATAGGATTCTGAGAGGTATCGGGATGGAGAGATGGTTGGTGGAAGGTTTAGATCTGGAGTGGAATGTTGCAAGGGCGGAGTGGTATTTGCGGGATGGGGTCATGGGAGAGGAGAGATTTGAGAATCGGCGAGGAAGGCTGGAGGATCAAAGAGAGAGGTTAAAGGAGAAGAAAAGCTCGAAGATATCTGCAATGTGGAAGAAGTATGGTGTAGTGGAGATGAAAATGGAGGGTGATCTGGAAGATTGTGAAATTAGAAGTTACGCGTTTTTGGGGCATGGATGGAATTTGACTTCAAATGTAAGTTTCTGCTCTGTTCTTTCTGTCTGGAGCTTCTCAGAAATTCTGTCTCCGAATCACACTTTCGGAGTCTAGTGATGGAAGGGGAGAGCAGAATATTCATGTTTATATGAGGTATTGAGTGGGTCACAGGCCAGAGTACTAGTAGAGTTTAGTAGGTGGTGGGATGGGAAACGTGATGTTTATGGAGTATGTGAGAGGGCTGAGATTCTCTGATATGTGCTGGTAAAGCTATCATGGTAACCTAATGATTAGAGATTTTCTGTCTGGGCTGGGCTTGTTTGGGGAGTTTAATTATTATTACTAGGATTGTAGGAAATTGTAGGAAAGCTGGCTTTGGTTTTGATTGATGAAAGGCGGGAGTTTGATGCTGTGTTGATTAAGAGATTTTGAATATACTATGCGCAATTGTTAGGAGATGGGTAATTAAAGATGCAGTGGTAAAGCTTGAGGAACGCTGCTATCATTTCCCATTTGAAGTTTTGAAAAGAACCATGCCAATATATCCCAACCATGATAGTATCCCCAATTACACATACCCTCGTATCGAAATATCCTTCTCAAATATATCCTCACTGTTTCTCCCAGAACCTCACATCTTCAGCTCACCCCCAAATTCCCCTCCAATCACGTGTTCCATCCATGTGCTGACTAATCATCATCATAACCAAAAACTCCTCAATATCCAACTAGCATCAAAGAATATTCAAGCTCGCTCCGCAACAAGTTCTTCCTCTCAAACACACACCCTTCCAATTCATCTCCTCTGCGTACAGAAACAACCCCAGAACACCTCACACACTTCACATACAGACGATCTAAAATTTCCATAAAATGGCACCAAAAGCCCAACGTGTAGTCGTCGAGCGCGCAGGCCGTCGCCCCGCTCAATCAAAAGGTTATTTCGCAAGCACGTATACTGCGTTGACGGCGCCGGAGAATGCAAGTGTGGTTAGGAGTATTGGGGTTTTTGGCATTGCGGTTGCGTTTTTTTCGAGCAGTTGGAGCGAGTATCTTTTGCCGCCGTGAGTACTTTCTTTCTCTCTTTTTTTTTGATGGGATTGGATGGGAGGGGATCTGAGATGCGGATTGGGATTGAGATGCAGATTGGGCTAATGATTTGTGGTGTAGTTTGTAAAGAATGATTGGCGATGGAGATGGAGAATGCTATGGGAATGTCGATATGCGGAATCGAGATGGGAAAGGCAGAAGAGATGATGATGAGAGGGGATACCTTTAATGACGACAACAATGTACAATGGATTAGGTCGCAGATGAAAATAAAGCAGTCAGTGGAAGAAATGTATGATAGGATGGATGCATGAAGGACGGGTATAAAAATGATGGGATTTGACATCGCGAGGATGATTCAGAAAACTCGGAATGTGTATACACCGGGATGGAAATGAGGCGTGGTTACTTATTACGAATGGATCTCTACTTCCTATATGCACTATTCCTGGATGCGGTTGTGATTTGTAATGGAGTTTCTTGAGATTTGGTTGTGGTGTGGCTGGGCGGGTAGGTTAGGTGCGATTGTTTTCATGAAAGAGGGAAGGGTGGAAGTGGTGAGGCAAATTATAAGTCTATGGGGTGAGTGGTGAGAGTCTGGAACTGATTTATATTGGGATGGAATTCAATAGAGTAATGGAAGCAAGTGCTTTTAATAAACTCAAGCCATAGAATTTCAGACAGCTCTTGTGACACAACGAGAAGGGCACTTAATAGCTTTACACATTATATCTCTTGTGATCCATCTTATACATCCTCACGCTGTCTATTTCATTCTACGAATTTGAACCACAAGCATAAATCATAAAGCTCATCGTGGAAACAATCACGAGTAAGATTCCAGACCAAGCTCCAAGCCAGTCCTCTGATTCCATACACGAAGCATCAAAATCTGGCACTCTTCCCGCCCACAAACCATTCGAAGACTCTGCGCTATCTAGTAATCTTTCCTGTCATATCTAATAAGCTTGTTGGCTGCCAAAGATAATTTTTGCACTATACATAGTAGATCGATAACTTACTTGCAAAATCCTTTTGGATTATCACAGCTGTTTGATCACTTTCGATATATCTCGCTCTACTTTGTCAGCGGAAGCTAAGTAAGCTATCTATCTGTCTAAGTGTGTCTTTGATTACTTACTCGCCTCTCCAAATCTTATATTCATTCAATTTCATCTTATTCAATTTCATCTTATTCAATCTCATCTCATCTCATTTCACCTCCAACCTCCAACCCCAATTCCATCCCCAATTCCAACCTCCCAAATCCGCATCATCACTACAAACACCAGCCCAGGCACACCAGCCCAGATAAACCAATATACTCCTCTCACCCTCTCACCCTCCCAAACCCATCTCATATTACTGATCAACATCTCATTTAATGAGCACAAGACTGCAATCCAAATTATATATACTCATATATACTTAATATTCAATATTTACTATCCTATCCTATTCTATCTAATTAGAAACACAGATGATGATTGTTGATGCTCGGTTATTGATGAAATGGAAATGGAAATGGAAATGGAAATGGAAATGGAAATGGAAATGGAAATGGAAATGGAAATGGAAATGGAAATGGAAATGGAAATGGAAATGGAAATGGAAATGGAAATGGAAATGGAAATGGAAATGGAAATGGAAATGGAAAGGGAAATGGAAAGGGAAGTGATGCAGAATAGAAGTAACGAGTTAGAAAAAAGTCTCATGACGATTACCTTTCCACCCACTCATCTACCCACTCATCTATCTATCTATCTATCTATCTATCTATCTATTTAT